GTTGGTAGTGTTAATAATAATATCATGGGTAAGGTAAATATGGCATTGGTAGGATATGATGCTGCAAATGGTTCCATTAAAGGATGTGATTCAACTGCAGATAGAGATGGACTTAGTGAAAATAGAGAAGTTACATGTGGCAAGTGCATATTATTTATTTCTTGTTCTAGGGGCTAGAGCATAACGTTTGGTTATGGAGTGAACCAGGATTAATTAGGTTGTAGAACCTTGTCATGAAACCACTAACTGGCAAAGTATGATGATGAAAAATGATTTGATTGAGTGCATACAGCACTGGAGGTTGTACCAAAAATAAAAGTACAAAAGTGGTAATCAAGAAAATTAAGTCAGTGAAGTTTATGAACTGCCCAGGTAGCAAATGTTTAAACTGGAAGAGGTATTCTAAACACCAAAACAACTCTAGCTCATGGAAGAAGTTTTGAAGTATGGATCATCAGATTCAGTGCTCAATTCTCTGCTTTTTAGGAATCACTTTGGTTATGCATCTCTAGCTCCATAAAGGCAATCAAACAACAAAGCAGGATGTAACGGAGCTCCCTGTACTCCGACCGAGTACCCTCCGTTGATGGATGCTCCTAGTGCTTCCTGAGGACTCCAAGCACTGCAGCAGACACCACAACCACCGCAGACTCCGCAACCGCCGTATCTTGACTGGAGTCTCGCCGTCTTCCTTCCACCCTGGATCAGCTTCTGTCCTCCAGGACTGTGTGGGAAAGAACTCTTCCTTCCACTCTGTATGAACCTCCAGCATCCAGGACTGTGTGGTGAAGACCCCTCCTCCAAGGAGAGCGTGTCAGGAACAAGCTCTTAAAAGAGCTAAGTGACTCAAGCTCAGGGGAGCATGCAGAGCATAGCAATCCCCAGTGTGATTATAACAGCTCCCTCCAATAACGAGACAAGGCTACGTTTAGAGGGATCAAGAAGAACTGTCAAAACCTTTATTCCCTTGGGACCAGCCAATACAGTCACCACAATAACATTGTTGTGAAACCTCAATAAAATCACAAACAGTCAAACCATATCAAGAAACACACAGTGACTTATCACAACACAATGGCACATTTTTAAAGGGGTGGGGGGAGACAATATTTAACAGTAAATATCTCACCTGCCTGCAGAATTAGCAATATGCAAATCTACTCGAATATGCAAATGAACCAGTCTTGCAATTCAGGTAGTGCATATTGCTGTTGCTACCAACAGAGGGCACTAGACCAGCTCCATAGCCAAACCCACCTAGTTGGTAGCAAACCTCAGCAGTACAGGAGAGAAGGCAATACATTTCACAGTACACACACACACTATAAACAATTACATTACACACACCCTGCACCTATCATGGGTACAGGGTGACTAAAACATAGGATAAATAAAGCAGCCCACATAAATAGTCTGTCTGAAGGTAGACTAGGGGCTTTAAAGCCAGATAGATGAAAGAGTCATAGTCACAGGGGAGGAGGCTGGCAAGTAGGCCTCTCCAGGACCAAGTGGCGAAGGGCACTTCGTCACACAGGAGATAACAAATTCTAAATTAAACACACTGCAACAAGAGATGTTAACGTATACTAGTTCTTTTTCAGGAAGCGTGTAAAGTTTGAATGTCTTAATTCAGGGCCCAGATTTAAACAAGTTGGGCTCAGATTTTGTTTAGCAATCTTGCAAAATTCTGTCTGAATTTGGTCATATCCAGTTCAAATTCAGGCTCAGTCAGAGCCTCCACTGCAAAATCTGGATATTGTTAAATAACGTTAGCAATATCTAGTTTTTGCAGTCTGAAATGCCCCACACAGTAGCCAATGTTTTGCTCCAAGCAGTACGAGGGAATTAGGACTTAGGACAAATAATTCTGTTAGTTTGTATCCCCAGTCAGACCTGATTTATAGGAAATCAGTAATATTATGTTAACCAATTTGTCAACGGCCGTATAATAAAAATAAAATAAATCAAATGCTAATGGCAGGATGCACATGTATACAATATCTGCAAGTGAATGATAATTTAAAGTACAATTTGTCCACTGACAGCACTAGCATCCAGTGAGCAAATAGTTAAAAAGAAAAACCTTGGAGTCGCAAGGATACTTACATAGTTACATAGTAGTATAGGTTTAAAAAAAATAAAAACCATCAATTTCAACATCGAAGCCTGTTCATTTATGCTGTGGATCCAAAAGAAGCCACAAAAATAATAGCCATTTACAAATATGCCACAAAAAGGCAAAACATTGTTCTTGACTCCATAATGGCAATCAGATTTCTCTTTCAAACAACAACTTGTTCACATGCATATCAATTGAATATTCTGTTTTTGCAAAAAACATCCTAACCTGTTTTACAAATATATGATAAGACAAGCTCTTTAGGTATTGAATTCCACATCTTTATTATTTTTACTGTAAAGAACACATCCTCTGCTGTAAGTGCTGTAAGTTACCAAGTATTAATGGGTAACCTCTTGTCTGTTATATATGCATGATAATAAACAGGTTAGCACATAGCGGTTTGTACTGAGCCTGCTTTTATTTGTATAGTGCTGACATTTGACCTGTGAGGTGCTATTTTTAACAAGAAAACACATGCAGTTTTACTAGCCTTTCTTCATGTTTTCCATGCCATTTCACCCATTATTAGTTTGGTAGCTTGCCTCTGCACATTTCCTAGTTCCTCCATGTTTCTTTAAAACTGTTTAAAATGAATTCTTGAATATTATCCCTTAATGTTAAGCTCAGAGGTCTGTAGTTAGTGGGTTAAGCTTTCGAAAACTTTTTAAATATAGGCACTAGAGTTGAGTGAACCCGAACTTTACCGAACATTAGGCGTTTTGGCCCCCGGACCCGAACACGGACATATCACTGTATGTTCCGATTGGAGTTCGGTGTTCGGCGATTTAATGGCGCGTTTTCAAAGGCTGCAGGGCAGCCAATCAAAAAGCGTTTGACTTGTGTGCCCTTAGAAGCCATCACAGCCATGCCTACTAATGGCATGACTGTGATTGGCCAGTGCAGCATGTGACCCAGCCTCTATATATAAGCTGGAGTCAAGTAGCACCGCATGCACATGCATTCTTATTAGTGTAGGGAGAGGATGCTGCCGCTGATAGCAGCTTAGGAAAGAATTCTGCAAACTGGTACATTAGTGGGGTGGGGTGCACTTCATATCTGAGAGTCAAATAGAAGCTTCAAATACCGCGGTTACATCAGAGTTTTAAAAAGTAATTTTTTTTTGTGCTAAATAGTACATTAGTGGGGTAGTACATTAGTGGGGTGCACTTCATATCTGAGAGTCAAATAGAAGTGTCAAATAATTTTGTCACATTGTAGTTTTAAAACTTAACATTTTTGGGGTCCTAAACTGCTAAATAGTATTTTAGTGGGGTGGACTTCATATCTGAGAGTCAAATGGAAACGTCTAATAATGTGCTTACAGTGCAGTGGTAAAAAGTCTTATTTTCTGGGTGCTAATCTACTAAATAGTACATTTTGGGGCGTGCACTTCATATCTGAGATTCAAATAGAAGCGTCTAATAGTGTGCTTACAGCGCAATGGTAAACATTCTAATCGTTTTGGTGCTAAACTGCTAAATAGTACATTTTGGGGCGTGCACTTCATATCTGAGAGTCAAATAGAAGCATCTAATACTGCGTTTACAGAGCAATTGTAAACATTCTAATTGTTTTGGTGCTAATCTGCTAAATAGTACATTTGCAGCCTGCGTTGCACTTCATATCTGAGAGTCAAATAGAAGCGTAAAATAGTGCACTTACTGCGCAGTTGTAAATATTCTAATTGTTTTGCTGCTAATCTGCTGCTTACATTGGAGTTTAAAAAAATCATTTATTTATTTTTGCTGGTGCTAAATAGTATATTTGGGGTGTTCACTTCATATCTGAGAGTCAAATCGAAGCGTAACTTTGATTCAAAATACATCGGTCACTTGTAATATTGTTTCACACCTACAACACTTGTTACACAGATCTAAGTGATAGAAAACAGATTGATATTTTCTACACTAGAAACTACCAGATAACAAGCTGCTATATTTAAACCAGTGATCAATGGCTAATAGGTACTTCAACAATATTGTAATTCTGGGGCAATACCCTCAGAAGTCAAACTGAGAGGTCAGTTTACAGGGAAAACTGTTGCCTGGAGGAAATTCTAAAACAATTTCCATATGTCCTTTGCAGACTTTAAATGCTGGAAAAACACAGGTGCCAACTGCTGTGGCTTTCTGCAGTGTGCATACCGGCAAGGAGGGCAGGGTTGAGGAGTGGGTGGAAGATGATATGGAGGATGATGAGGTCCTCGCACCCACATGGAATCAAGGTCATGCGAGTGATGTGTGCTGTTTGGAGGAAGAGGCGCTGGTCACACAGAGGCACCAGCACAGCATAAGAGGGAGCAGGGTGCAAAAGCGGAGCGGCCATCCCCTAGCGCTCGTCGAAATGTATTAGCTCGAGAATTACCAGTTATCCAAGTAATACAGATCAAAGGATCCATTATGGATCAAAGGATCCATAATAGAGTTGATCGAACCCGAACTGCAAAGTTTGGGTTCGTACCAGATTTAACGATCCATTTGTAGTTTCACAGTGAGGTGGGCAGTCTGGTGACCAGGACCCAGACACTGTCTGGGCAGCGGTCGGACGACCGGGACCCAGTATGCCTGATGTTGAAGTTAGGAGTCACAGTGTGAAATGGATTAGCAGGGTCTGGTGCAGGGTAACCGCATGCCCCCTGGTGTTGAGCACCAGCGTTTGTGCAGCCACATACAAGGACCGTGATGCAGCTTCAGTAAAAAGAGTACTTGATACCAGAAGCCATCACCAGACTGATCCACAACAGAATGTGACATTCACTGTAGCGGCTGTGCGCACTTTTGGCATTGTCATCCTGCTGCTGCTCGCCTGTCTGCACTGCAGCGTAATTTCGGCCTTCCTGCTCACCGCCTCATGAGACTGTGCGAGCAGCAGCAGGCGATAGTGGAGTTTCAGCTGCAGCACGCACGGATCAGTGGCTCTGCACCAGACTTCCCTCCAATTGATCAAAATTAAAGGATTTCAAGTGGACTCATTACAATTACAGGGCCTCTAAAGAATCCTGAATTGTTATTTGTCATCACTACCATCCCGCGTCGGGAGTGGGTCATTTGCACGCCTGCTGCCTTCCTTGCATGTGGTAGCCATTTCTCAGGGTCCCTGTACGGAATGGAACCCTGATTCCCCGTTACTCGTGGTCACCATGGTAGGCGCAGAAACTGGCATCGAAAGTTGATATGGATGACATCCGCACGGTGATGTGCGATTTGCCCGAGGTTCTTTAGAGTCAATAAAGTTCCTGCGCAACTATAATGTCAACATCTACTCTGCGGAACAGAGTTGTCTTTTTTTTATACATCCCAATACTTTGGGGGCTACCCCAATGAAAAAAAAAAAAAAATATATATATATATAAAAACAGTGTTGGCTACCTCCTCCTCAACCGCCACGGTCACCGCCTCCTTAACCTATGGGTCACTTAGTATAAACTAGGTACACATTAGCAGAGGTTTGTGAAGGCCTTTTCTCCATGCATCAGGAGTTGAGCTCAGTTTGAACAATGAAAGAGAATACCCTGCACTCCAACCCTCTCTCAAATGGATAATTCTGGTGATTCTCCTGACAGCCATGCTTTAGATTTTGCTTTATGTTCTTCCAAAGCTAAAATCAAAGATTCCATCTAGTGCTATTTTATGGCTCAGCTGTATTTTTTATTTTTATGTTATTTTAAGTGATTTCCCTATCCACATTTGTTTGCAGGGCACTTGTCCTACTCTTACTCCCATTTTACTTCCTTTTGCAGCTCTCTAGCCCTTTCCAGGAGTTTTTTAGAGGCATTTTTGTGGCCAAAAGTTCGGGTCCCCGTTGACTTCGATGGGGTTCGGGGTCAAGTTCGGGGTCAAGTTCGAGCCCGAAACCGGACTTTTTTTCAAAGTTCGGCCGAACCCACCAGACCCGAACATCCAGGTGTCCGCTCAACTCTAATAGGCACCACATCTGCTTTTTTCCAATCCTCTGGTACAATTCCTGGAAAAAAAAAGAATCCTTAAACTTTAAAAACAGTGGTATGGATCTTGAACTCACAGCAAATATATATTGTAAGTGTCTGTATATAATGTGTGCATTCTATTGACACATATTGTACAAGATTATTTGCACAAGCAAAATATTGCATTAATGCATTGATGCATTTGTTGAATAGTGCACTTTATATATTTGTTATGCACTTTGAATAATGTTTTGTCTTAGAGACACAGCACACCTATTTTTTAGTTTTTGTTTCTTAAAGGGAAACTATAGTCACCAGAACAACTACAGCTTATTGAATTTGTTCTGGTGAGTAGAATCATTACCTTCAGGCTTTTTGCTGTAGAATTTTACATTACAGCCTAGTGATAACTTCACTGGCCACTCCTCAGATGGCTGTTAGAGATCCTTCCTGGGTTATGGCTGCCTAAAATGCATCCAAACATTCAGTATATCCTCCCTCTTCATGCAGACACTGAACTTTCCTCATAGAGATTCATTGATTCAATTCATCTCTGTGAGGAGATGCTGATTGTCCAGGGCTGTGTTTGAATCATGCTTGCTCTGCCCCTGATCTGCCTTCTTGTCAGTCTCAGCCAATCCTATGGGGAAGCATTGTGATTGTATCAGGCTACCACTTCTGATTATGTCAGCAGACTGCTTGTTTTTCTGAGTCTAACAGCATGCAGAGTTACAGCTTCAGGCTTGAATACAGTAAGATTTTTACTATATTTATGGATGCATGAGGTGCCCAGGGGGGCTAGATGGTGGTTTTAATACATGTTTGTGTTCCTGACCATATAGTGATCCTTTAAGAGTGAATTTTTGGTCTCTCTCACCTCCATAGTGTGCAGCTTTATTTATTCATTCATGTTTTTAATTGTAGCTTAAGAAATATTTTTTAGTGCCTTATTCACTTGTGGTTTTATAACATGTATAATCTTAATCTTCTGTTAATCTTTATTGGTGGCTGGCCTAATAGGGGCAAATCTCCTAAATGTTTAAAACTAGTAACTGGGCAGCCATTGACTTGTGGGGACATAGCCACCCCTGTTTTGGGAGGGGGAGGGGGGCAAGCTTGTGTCCCTCTGTGCCTCACTTGCACGCTTTGGTGGGGGCTATTCTAATAATAATGTGAGATTATACCCCAAGACCCCACCCAACAGCAGTGGGTGGTGGCCAACTGCTAAACAGTTATGGACCTGGTGTATATTAAAGAGGTATGAACCTTGTGTCCTATTTTACCCTTTGTCATTGGCAGCGGGTTGGAGCCCAAATATTAATCAACAGGGGAGAAGACCTAGTGTCCCATCAGCTCCCACTTAATAGTAGTTGGTAGGGACTCTAGCTAATTATACCATCGGCGGTGGATGTGCCATTATCATCCTCTACAAATAATAACAAGCCCCCAATCACTAATAATAGTGAGTGAGGGCAATTAAACTAATACCTTTTTGAAAAAAAAAATATGCTTAACAACAGAAGTCATCTTTCTTCTAATTCTTCTTATCTTCATCCTCAAAAAGAGGACAAATAAAAAAGCGTTATTTTAGATTTAGAACTATTGTTTATTGGGGACACAACGCTTCCCGGCTAACGACGCGTCTAACGCGGCCTACAGACCAAGGCAACCCCCCAGGGTGAGGCACCTCCCAAAAACTTTCCCACTACCAGAGACCCACGCTAGCCTCGAGTTGACCATATCATTATGCCACTCCCCACACGCGGACAGCCAGTAGGCCCAAGATGAACCACCGGATAGGGGGAAAACCCCACCATCACCTAGACACACAAAGGCGTTTACCGAGAAACTTAAAAAAAACCTAGCCTCCCTCCGGAAAATTCCACCCCACACGCCAGAAAGTCGGAACCCAACGCTCAACATGAGGACACCACCTCAGCCCCCATTCCCGACACACAATGGGTACACCACCCTATCCCCCCACCCTAACCTTTCTACCCGCACAAGACGGGGACGCACATACAACAACGGGGTCCCATAGACTCCGGAGAACACCGCAACACATCCACCCTCAAATGCCCCCAAGACCCACAACCAAGGCAACAGCATCAACGCATGGACAAGTCCCAGGATAGCTGAGGGCACCATACCAACAACATGTCAAAAGGAGACACCTGAAACCGTATCCCTACAAACCCGCCCAACCCTCCCCACCACTCCACACACCTCCTCGCAACCCCGAGGGACACCAATCCAAAGCAGACAAGACAACTCTTAGAAACTCCCAATCCACGATACGCAGCTGACAACCCAAAGAGTTCAAACGGGTAAACACGAACACCCAAACTCTCCCTCCTCTGTCTAACCTACCTGGAAACCCACCAGGCACCAAACAAACACGCACAACCACAGTTCTGGAGCCACATAGCAGCCAACAAACCCAGAAAGCCCCCCCACCCCCCACTTATAGGGGGAATAGACTTCACAGATCCCCTGAACTCAGAACACATATGAGAGCTCTACCCTCTGGGACGGTACAAGATGGGACCAAGCAAAGGTATCTCAAAAAGCCAGATGGATACTGCAATGTATCACTGTGAAAACGTGCATATACCTTGTTACCCCTCCCCTCTTTTTTCTTCTGTAACCCACCTATCGTTCATAACATTCTGAAAAATAAGATAAAGAATTTATAAAAAAAAGAAAAAAGAACTATTGAGTATATAAAAGAGAGTTTATTAAACTATTTTTATATGTCCATTATCATGTGGCAACAATAAGCTATTTTAATACTTAATTTCTTTGACTATTTACTACAATTTGATTTAAAAATCATTTCTCAATATGTAACATAGACCTTTTTTCCAAATACGTTACAATCCTTTCATATATACATTATCCTATAATCCTATATGCACTCAGCACACAGTTATGCATACTTACACACACTTACACAGACACCCCAAGTCTCCCTGAAGGTTCCAGTATACTCCTGCATATGAATGTGGCTCCCTGACATCCGCAAATCAGATACAATATCCCGGAAATCACACACTTTGACATACAATGTGTGTGTGATTTCCATTATATTGTATGTTTTCCGCCCCCCTATAATACTACCTAAACAGGGGCCCAGTCACGTGCCACAGTCCTATAAGAGCGACCATGCCCCTGTGATATCAGCAGGCAGGGAGGAAATGACAGCCTGTCATTTCCTTTCTGCTTCACAGATTGCCATCTCAGAGGAGACGGAGGAGGAGGCTAGAGCACACAGCAGCATGGAGGCTGGAGGTTGGAGGCATCCGAGGCACACAACAGCATGGAAGGCAGAAGAGAGGCTGGAGTGAGCTGCTGCTGCATGCTCACTCCCATCAGCCTCAGCCAGGACCAGAACACAAAACAAGCCACCCTTCATGAAGGTAAACTAAGAGGAGGGTGGCTGCAAATGTATAAAGAGTGGCATGTATGTATGTCAGTGTGTGTATGTGCCAGTGTGCATCATTATATCAGTGTGCGTATCTGAGTGTGTGTATGTGCCAGTGTATATCTGTATGTCAGTGTGTGTATCTTTGTGTTAGTGTGTATCTGTGTGTATTTGAGTGTATGTGCCAGTGTGTAGATCTGAGTGTTTGTGTCAGTGTGTGTATCTGAGTGTGTGTGCCAGTGGGTGCATCTGTCTATATATTTATGTGTCAGTGTGTATATGAGTGTATGTGTGAGTGTGTGTATCTGAGTGTATGTCCCAGTGTGTTTATCTGAGTGTGTGTCAGTGTGTGTATGTGCCAGTGTGTCTGAGTGTGTCAGTTTGTATATATGCGTGTCAGTGTGTGTATGAGTGTATGTGTCAGTGTGTCAGTGGTTGTATCTGAGTGTATAGGTTGACTGTGTGGAGGGGTGAATGTGACCAAGTGTGAGAGGTGAGTGTGGGGAGTGAAATGACAGATGAGTTTGGTGGTAGATTGTGTGTGGAAAAGCCAGATTTAATTAATAAGCCTCCCCGAACACTGAAACTTTTATTTTTAGTAGAGCCCCACTCTACTCCAGCAGTTTTTCTGGTGGTCCATTTGGCTGCCAGGCAGATATGTACCTCAAGATCAGTGCAGACCCCTCTGAATGCCCACTTGTGTTCACTGGCTGGGACGGAGTGACTGGAAGTGCAGACTGCACTAAGAGCAGTGCAGTGCCATGAAGGAGGATCTTTTGATTTATTTTTGTGGTGGATAAAATCCTCTTTGCAGCTGTTCTCCAGTGCTCTTTATGTATGTGTTTGGGAAAGAAAAACATTTAGTAATTTTAAATGAAGAACAAAAAATGAAACATAATTTGAAAACATGATAATTTAATGAGCGGTTTGTTCATATTAAGGAATATTAAATGCATCATTGGTGATTTGGTATTCTATA